CCCCCCCCCCGGCACGCTGCTTCTCATGACCCAGACACTGTTTTCCTGAGTTTTCCCATTCACAGGCTGTACATGGAATCCTGCCGACTTGCAGCTGTCCTTCATTAACGCGGCGCACCCCTAACCCTTCTTTTCGGGGATTTAAGACTCACCGCAGAGCTGCAGGTAGTTTGAGTCCGAGATGGACTGTATCTCTGAGCTGGGCATTTAACCCTGACTGCTGCGGTGAAAATATGCCGTGAAGAAGCTACAAATGCATGATATTACACAAAGCAGTGCTGCTAGATTGTCCAGATGTCTGTAGCTGGCAGTCACTGCCGCGTTTCTCCCTGGCGTTCCGCCCTAAGTGCTCCATCGCTGGCATAACCTGTAGAGCAGGCATGGCTGCCCAGTGAGGATGAGCCACTCTTTAGGCCCTGCACTGCTTCGGTGAGACCAGTGCTGGCAAAGTGGGGCCATCTCTCTCTCTCTCTCTCACTTCACCGCTTCCTGTCAGCCGCGCTGGGAGATGCAGGGCTTTCTCCAGCTCAGAATCTGAAGGCAAACAGGAAGCCGAGGACTCGAGAAGTGAGTAAAAGTTCTCGCAGCCGGGAATTTCACATGAATCACTGGCTTTTTTCGCTTTTAAATGCAGCAGGCCAGACACAGAAACTTCAGATAAAGAAAAAAGGCGACCCAACAAAGTATCCCTAACATTTCATTGTTTATTTCCCCACTTTTGTCTCATTTTGCTTTCTGCTATCAGGTTTCCTAAAATTAAAGCTCCTTTGTGACATTCATAACAATGCAAACTCAGCATAATCCCCAGTGTTCCCTGTGAAGTAAACCTCACGCACGCTGTCTGTGTTTCACAAGGCGCCTCAACAGCGACACGGCCTCTCGGCCATTCCTGCCCCGTTTCTTGTTGCCTGCATCTGGACCCATTTCCACGGGCTCAGAGGCGTGCGCCGAGGGCCGGCCCGATCAATGTCACGCTCAACGCTGCTGGCCTTCACCCTCCGTCATTCAGGCCTCAGATGCAGTCCCCAGTCGCGTCTCACCCACATCACATGCCTGCGGCTGAGCTACGACACCCTTCTGTGCTCACCCCTGCACTGCCGCTCCTGAAACACCCCCTAACCCCCCCCCCACCTCCATTAGCATTTAGACAGGACATGAAAGCTGCAGGACACCAGCTGAGAAAGTGATAGGCCTGATGTTCAGATGGAAATCAGGCCTGGCTAACTGGCTAACCGACTCACTGGTTAACTGGTTAGTGCCTTCTTGGGTATTCAACAGGCAGGCTGCAGTTGTAACAAGCATTGTGATTAAATTT